TCCTCCGGCACCCCGGGGCGGCCCGTTTTGTGGCGCCGCCACCCGTCATTTTACAGACCTCTCTTTGCTTGTCGGTGTTAAGCGTGCTGACTGGCTTCCCTTCGAGCCTGCTTTGCCTGCGTTTTTCCTACTGATCGGTACTTCTCTTACTCAAAACGGTGCAGCGCGTCTCTTAAGGTTCCTGCGTGCAATGCAAAAATTTCATTACTTGAGGAAAACGTGCATTGCGGAGTTTGAAATACATTTCTTTTTCTTACGAAAACTCGATGTTAGCCATTTTAATGGTTTTGAAAAAGCTGTAGCAATTTTAAAACCGCTGAAGATAAAGGCACTGATGGAAAATAGGATGCGTGTGCTATTAATTGCCTTTTCTTTGTACTTTGAGAAAACTCCCTCTGTTCTTCATATTCACAGGATATGAAGAGAGCATGGGAGCAAACGATTGTTACAGCCATTGTTACGAATACGTTTCAGGTTACATGAAAACCTTAGCTACAGATAGGAGTACGTATGGATAAATTCAATCACAGTTACTCTTGAAAAACTGATTAAAAAAAACCCCCAAACCAACACTGCCAACTTCACAAAAGCAACCTCTCAAACAGCTGTGAGAATTTGTTCACCGAACCGTGATGCACACAGGCACTCTGAAAGGTACTGTATAACCATCAACATTTAGGTTTGTACTGTTTTCCCCCTCACTTACTTTTTCCACTCTGAGGCAAATCCATTGCTGTTGAGAAAGGGGTATCTGTGGAGCGTACACGTCGCAGCTATCTTGTGTAGACAGCGAGCATACGAGTGGGACCTCTTGCTTCAGGAGGCTACAGGGTCCAATCCTACCTGTTCTGAAATCACTAGAAGAAGGTTTTAAAGCTGTATTTCAGTCGTTGCCCTTTTATCACAAGCATGCGGTTTATGAAGCTGTGTGCTTCCCAAAACCGCAGTGAAGTTTTCATACAGTATTCAGGCTAACAACGGTTATGAACTTAAGCAGTTCAGGGTAAAAAAACAAATGAAGGCAGTTTAGTAGGAGTAAAACAGCAGCCACTTGTTAATCAGATGTAGCTGACTGGAAATCCTCTGGTATTTCTGTTTTGGACAAAAAGGGTACAGGAAGCCTCTGAAATGATATCGAGCTAAATGAGAAGCACTATTATGAATTATATTAGAAAAATATTACTATGTCTTTCTTAATTACAGCTAAGGTGATTAAATTTCTAAATGGGTCTTTTTGGTCTCAAAGATAAACTACAAGTGCTTAACAAAAATTAATTGCTTACTGGAGCTTTTATTTTGGACAATGTAAAATAATTTTATATAGTCGCAACTGAAAAGTGAGTTAAAAATTACTATGAGAACCCCTCTATACGATTGCATGACTCAAGCGTTAAGACAAAAAAGAATCAATTAATACTGTATTAATATGTTTTATTTTTTTAGACAAGTATCCAGCTGCTGAAGTCACAGCCATTAAAGTCAAACTAGTATTCTATCACCTTTTGACTACTGCAGGACCAATGTTTCTCTTACCACTGGAGAATTTTCTCTTTTTCCCTGGAAAGGGCTACAGTGGTGTTTAGCAAAAAAAAAAAAATCTAAACAGACTGATTTAAATTATCTAACTTGTTATTTTTAAGCTTTCTGATTAATAAAAAATCATTTGATCTGAAATAACTTCCTTTCTTCAACATTGTTTGGTGTGCACTGAAACAGGATATATAAACATTTTGATAAGTGAGCTGAACAGCTTTCAAGTTTCACTGAACTTTCAGCAAATATTCCCGCAGTCCCTGCTATAATGCCATTCTGAAATAACTTCCTACAGCAATAAGGGAGTCCCTAAAGATCCGTTTACTCCACCTACAGTAACAGAACAATAGACAGATACTTCCTCTTTTTTGGCAAAAGTGTATTAGTTTTGATAGAACGCTAAACCATACCAAGACTCTCTGTTGTTCTGTATCCACACAGCAAGTAATGTTAGGAACCATGATTTTAGTAAACAGAAAGGCAGGGTTTGCAGAAAATTGGCAAAAGCTGTATAAATGAAGAACTTCCGGAAGCTATATGAACTATTGTATAGGTTTATTAAATAACAACTTAAGTATTTTCCCGAGTAATCTTTTTTCCTTTATTACATGGGTAGAAAACTATATTCAAAACCAAACTAACCAGATGTCCAGCTATTAAAAATTTATTCTACAGCAAACTGATTCAGGTCATGTGACAGCAGGAAGGGTGGCACGGAATGGAGTTCCCGCTGCTCTCCCGTGCTTCAGGCAACACAACTGTTACGTATTCCCAAGGCAGCAGCACAAGAGGATGTCAGAGGCAGGAATAATCTCTAGAAAGGGGAAATGCTTACCGTGGAAGGAAGTCATTCACTTCCTTCTGAATGCTCCTGCTTGCCCTTTAGGCTCAGTATGAGCCCTCTATAGGCAGGGCTAAAGCCAGTGGGTTTGTCATGTTTTTCTGATTACGTCTCAGTGCGTTGGTGTTAAAAAGCACCCAACCTATTCCCCATTGATGTATTTGAACCGAGAGTATACTATTTAAATACAAAATGAGAGAAAGGAATGAGCAAGGCAAAATCAAATAGCTCTTTTTCAGATAACAAAGGCATCAAATCAGAAAGGAAGCATTTTACATATATTTTGCCCAAATACGGCAAACAGTTACTGAAATTAGTGAAGTTAGTGGTTTGTCAGTCATCCAGAGTTGTTAGAAAATTTGAATGAAGGCCTTAAATGAGAGTTTCAGTAACATTTAAGTGATGCATAAGCATTATGTTGACCTCTGCACCTCAGAAATTGTCACCCTTGCTGTATTTAATGGCGGTACAGTGGCCTGCATGAAATGATGTGACAGTTTTAGACAGCTTCACAGGAGATAAAAATCCACATGACAAAAGGCTACGGCAACAGAGATGCAGTTGATACGACACAGCAGAAAAAACAGTGCTGAGTGACCAAGATGGTTAAACTGCTGTTTTCTCCAAGCCATGTTATGAGACACATCGATGAGGCAACGTGGGACACAACTTCACACTGCTTTTGCCACTGCTGTATCTGATCCGTTATTAAATATCTACAAAGCTATCCCAGTTATCCATATCGTGGGTATTATTTTTATAATACTGAAAGCTATAGGAAAGTGCATCAAACGTTTTCTTTGGCAACAGTCCTAACAGCAGTATTAAGATATGCTTGCATAGTTCTGTAGAAGGTTTGAATCAATAGAAAAAGAGGATTAAAGAAATAAATTTAATTGTAGAGAAAGAAGCGAATGACAAGCAGCAATCAACATATTACATCAAGAAATCACAATATAAAAGACTACAGGACTGAAAAGTAAAACTGAAACTATCCTCACATTTAAATAATCTATTTATAAAACATCTGTTAGGAGAAAATAGTATTTTCTCGCTCCTAGTTTCACAGTTGGCAACCTGATAATCAGGATCACTTCGGACTGAAAAGTATGAATGAAACTATCCTCACATTTAAATAATCTATTTATAAAACATCTGTTAGGAATAGTATTTTCTCGCTCCTAGTTTCACAGTTGGCAACCTGATAATCAGGATCACTTCAGAGAAATGAATACACAATTGATCACTCTACGAAAACATGTTCAATGCTCAGTAATGGCCAAATTAAATGTTAGGAATGATTAGGAAGGAGGACAAAATGTAAAGCGTTACTATGCCACTGTATAAATCCATACTGCATCTGACACCATTCAGACTTGAATACTGGCTGTGATTCTCATTTCCCACCTTAAAACGATGTGGCAGTACTGAAGGCACTGGGAAAAGTGGAAAGAATTATTCAAATTATGGAATAGCTTCATATAAAGAATGACAGTAAAGA